TCAAATTTCTGTTTTCACATGTAAAATCCCTATATTCCAAAAATGATTCTACATCGATATAAAACACAATTGATAATATAACTTAATTTAGCGATTTCAATTATAATAGAAAAATGAATCGCGTAAGTGGTTTCATCCACTCACGTGTTATTTGCTTGGGTTTCGCATCAGTAAGAATGACCACATTCGTCGTAAAAAAAATTAATACTTTATTGCCTAACCACAAAAAAAAACAATTCATATGGTATCTATCACATAGAATGGTTCATTTGGAACCCAATAATACAATTTGAAAAGTAAGGATTAAGTGCGGAAATACAGATATTCGCTTTTGAAAATGGTGAAAACAACTTGAGAATTGGTCGTATGGCGTAATATGTATTTTTTTTTTGTAAAGATTGTCCAGAGTACTTTTTTTTCTTTATTTGTAGATACGAAAGTGAGTGACAAAGTAAAATTAGGATTCATTCTCACCTTAAAGCCCAGTTTATTTTTCAAATTTTGTATCTGGTGTTACAAAAATGACGCAAAAACTGGATGATACTGTTAAGTTCACTTCTTGTTTCTGATTTGTTTTAATCAACTAGATGTATAATGGGCAGTTAAATAATTAGTTAGTAATAATTTAATAATACTTTTTCCACGACCAAGAGTAGAAGTTGGTTTCTACGGTCGCAAAATCATGTCAGAAGTGATACATTTCGTCCCTAGGGAAAAAAAAAAACTCCCTAGGGAGTTTTATTTTTCAGCAATTTTAATTCAATTTTTATTAACGTCAATCTTAACAGTAATATGTTTGCATGTATTAAATTGAATATTTGAAGGAATTTCACTTAGCAGCTTATCATGTATTTGAATGCAGGATGTTATCATCGAATATTGGGCCCACAACGTTGATGATTTGTATTCTTTGGAGCAGTACGTTTTTTGAGTAGGTTTTCGCTTTCTTTGTTCTGCACCATTCTCTGAAGCGGTTGTACGCTTTATCGTACAAATCTCGCGATTTCTGAGTGAACGAGTTCAATGTTGCCGCGTTTGCAGCGTCCAATATGGATTCAGGCTCCTCCGCTGGCCCTTCCATATCACAAAAACACTTGCTTGAACCGAAACTTGAACTAATTTCGTGAAATAATCACTTTTTTGATAGTAAACAAATTTTGGTTGTCATGGTATGCATTGAAAATTTCCAAAGCTCAAGTCAAATTTGCACTTCTGGCCAAACCGAAAAAATAAAATATGTTCAATTTTAAAGTTTAATGTTTTAAAAAATTTAGTGCAGGGCTTTTTTTAATTTAATTTTTTTTCGAGTTTTTCAAAGCCTTCTTAACAACGTACAACCATCGATCTTCACCTTCATCATCGTAAGTACTTTGAAATGTTGTCGTTCATGTTATTATAGACAATTAGCGAAATTACGTTCCGTACAACGTATGTTACGTTATCGTACACAATCCCCAATAGGAACACTGCATTTTCTATGTTTCTATAGATATAACAGTTTTTCCTATATTTTGCGTGCTGTACGTTCTACGAAACGTGGTTTCGCTAATTCTCTATTAACTATGTTTAAAGATAGCGGAAATTACAATTTTTAAAGGTGACTTTTCTAAACAAAATTGTAAATAACTAGGCAATTACTAATCGGAATATCTGTGTGCACTTTTTGTCGATAGCATCATTTAAACAAATGGTCGTACATTTAAGTATTTATGTGTTTATTGAATTAATTAATTTTCAAGGAATTCTAAAATAAACGGCAATAAAAAGTAAAAGCACGTAAAAATGCAGAGGTAGAAGGTGATGATAAAGGTCACAAAAATGTGCATAATCTCTCGTGCTTGTTTAAAATGCTTTTATTAGATAAAACCCCACAGCTACATTGAAAATATGCACGCGCCATTGTTTTTACGCAAAAGGGGAATTAAAATATACCGCGTACAACTTATTGTTTGCTGATGATTTCAAGATCTACAGAGTTATCAAATCCCTTGGTGATTGCATTGCTTTCCAAAATGACCTTGAAAATGTTTATCAATATATCAGATGGTGTCTGCTTAATCGCTTATTTTTGAATACCATCAAATGTTTATTGGTAACGTATACTCGGAAATTGTCGCTATTTATTTTCAATACAAAACTCTGTATTAGATCTAGTTTGATTCTGCTCTAACGTTTGTATCGCACATTAGAAATATGAGTTCAAAAGACTATAAAATTTTAGGATTCATTTACCGAAACAGCAAAAAATTTAATAAAACACAAACCCTTAAAACCTTGTTTATTGTACTTGTCAGATCTAGGTTGGAGTACGGCTCAATCATTTGGCACACTACATATCAAGTCCACGTTAGCAATATTGAATCTATGCAGAGGATGTTTTTAAAGTATCTGGCCTATCGTGAAGATCATGTATATCCTGTGAGAGGGTATCCACAATTACAGATTTTAAGTAGATTCAACTTCTCCTCTCTAAATACGAGAAGACTAATTTTAGGTGTAACATTCATTTTAAATTTAATTAATCATAAATTTGATTGCGCGTGGTTGCTTAGTTGAATAAATTTACTAACCCCGAGATTTAATTTTCGCCAACACAAAATATTTTATTGTCCCTCGTGTAAAAGTAATTGTTGCTATGTGCACAGTGTACATCAAAATATCCAAGGACTGTGATCTTTCTGATAAAAATGCTAGCATTGCTGCTAGTATTACCCCTGAATACGGTGTTTAGTATATTATTTCGTATTACCTTTAATCTGCAAACTAAAATTTTGTCTTTTCTTCTGACATGCCCAATTTAATAACTTTTATTTTCACTTTTTTTCACTAAAATGGGTTATACCGTTGCGAAAGTTACAATTAATAATAATAATAATACTGGAATTATGCGGATGTTTGAGAGTTCGGCAACCGTTCCGTTTTCTTTTTTTTTTTAATAATATTGCTCAAGCTTTATTTATATTTTAATGGGATAAATTATAATAGTAGTCATAAATAATAATCGTTTTTTAATAATGTGGAATGTCACATGGGCCTAATGAATCGCGGTAATATCTTTAAATTTTAACGCATGACGGAGCACTTGGAATATATTGTGTCAGTATATACCGATAAATCTCTTCAAATTAATAGTCAAGGAATAATAGAAACTATAAATTGAATCAATTACCTCCTACAAATTACTCATTTACTTGGACAATGGACATTCAGCACTTGGAAGTTTATGAATTAGAATTGTCGGATAAAACTTTTTACCACTTATTCTTTGTTTTGTAGCGATTCTCTTCTCTTGCAACGACAGCAAGCTTAAATACTGTCAGTACTTTCGACGCAAAAATCATAATTTGATTGCTGACGCGAAACCATATTTTTAATCACTTGCATGTGCTCCCGTGTGATTACTAATTTTAAAAATTATTAAAAAATTAATGGAACTACAAATGAATAACACCTACTGGTTCTCTCGGCGCGGAATTCGGTTACAGCTATTTCAAATCATTTTCATCTGCATGTAGGAAGCATCATTAGTGAAATGAAAATTCGACTGTGCTAATTCCCTTAAAATCAAATTTATTGCCAATGCGCGGTTTTTTATCGGTTTTGGTAATTTAAATTTTCATAGGAAAAATGGAGGAATTGTAGCAACGAATATTAATTCCGTTGTCCAGTGGCGAAACGGTTTAACGACTTTTTTACACGTTTATGCTTGTGTTTGATTTATTGCAGTGGTGATGACAGATAAAACTGTACTGAACTTCATTACATCGTAAATCAAAAGATTATTGACCGTGACTTGAGTTAGAAAAACATCTAATTGAAAAATTCATATCTATATATGAGGGATGCGGTTGAAGTATCGACATTGTATAAAAAATATCTCGTTTATTTTACAAACATACATGATTCGGTGTCGTTATTTTAGCCTCGAGAGATTTAGATATTTTTTCCTGACTATCATGTAGTGTAGTTCACGGTATCTTAACACCACACGAAATCCCCAAGCAATAACATTTGAACGAGAGCTAGTGTGTTAAAAACGCATTAATTTTCGCTACATGAATTCTGCATAATGGATTGTTTAAAAAAAAAATTGAACACATTAATGCAATAAAAATACATTGTTAGAATCAGCACACTACTGATAAAAAATTGAAACAAAAGATTCTGAAATGAGACGCGATAAAAAACTGTAATTTTAAAAATACATCAACTTATTCAGAAAATTGGTGCGTCTTTAACAACTGTACAACACCTCCTCAGTCTTTCATATGAAATGCATTGCTTATACGTGGGAAGTCAGCGTCTTATTCTTACAACAATTTTGATTGCTCTCTCACAACTTTATTTTGCGATAGAGAATACAACAAACGTTCTAAAACTACCTATTATTTATTAATCGCCGATTCTAATTCAGTTTGTGTCGCAGATATAGTAAGAAGTTGGATGTTGTAATTACATAATACGAGTTATTTAATTGATCGTAATACTTAAAATCTAATTTAATGTTTGCTTTATGAAGCAACCTGACCCAAATATATACCTTTTTGGAATATTTTTGTCACTATTTCAGAAACTACGAGAAATATATATGTGAATAATCCTCTTGATTTGCTAATAATGAACGTTCCTAGAATTTTATGATTTATTCCTTCCACACTACTTGTCATTGAAGACCATTCGACAGCATAAAGTGTAATGATATTTTTATTTTTTTTATGAACGAGTTCCTTACAAATACAAACGCCAAAACTTGGAAAGTCACCCAATCGTTTTTTTCAACAAAATTTATAATTTTTAAAAACACTAAATTTGATAAAAAAAAACCAAAACAATTATTTTTCATCAAAATTAGTCATTATCAATATTCACATAGATAGTAAAGATATTTTTTTTGTTAACCCAAATGTTGCAAGACTTCCAAAACTTGAATTGTAATAATCCTCATAAAATAACACTAATTTGAATATTTCCGTATCCAGTACCGATCAGAATGCGAAACAATGGTTCGCCACCACGGCGAACTCCTCTCGAGGATGAAACTGGACCGTGAAGAGATTTTGAGCCAGCTCGACGACGAAAAACGGAAGAACGAAGATCTTCAGTTTAGGTTTGAAGAAGCGTCGATCACCAGAAACGACATTGAGGTAAAAATCTTACAAAACAAATACATTCATTATAAGTTTTCAAACATTATAGGCAAATGTTGTTGCCCAAACCGTAAGTTGAGGCATGAGTGTTGTAGTTTTGCATGCGTCAACTAACCACGCATTTTCTTGTGTTTTTAATTAATGCTTCTACAGGCCGTCAACGACAACTACCTGAAAAAAATCGCCCATTTGGAGGCGAACCTCAAGGAAGAACGTCAGAAAGCAGAAGCGTTGGAGTCGATCTCTAATAAGCTTTTTGAAGCGGAAGAAAGCTTGATAAAAGCTCGTGAAGAGGTCGATCATATAACGCACGAGCTGAGTCTAACGAGAAACGAGAGAGCGGCAGTTGAAGAAGAAAAGACCGTCACTGCACAACTTGTTGAGTCTTTGCAACGACAAGTAGAAGGCGCTGGTCTCGAGAACGAAGAGAAAGCGAAAACGATAAGTCAGTTAAATGAAGAACTGGCTAACGTTAAGTCAGAACATGAGGTTGTTAAACGAGGAATTGAAGACAATTGTGTCCAGAAAGACGACGAGATCGCGAAGCTCAGGGCAGAAATTGCTCATCAGAAGAGGATTATTGAGAAATACGAGAAGACTCATGCCACTTTGGCCGAAGAAAACCAGAAACTGAAGATGCAGTACAGCGCGAAGTGTCACGATGTAGAAACGTCGGGATCAGATATCGTCGCGAAAGAAGATGAGATTAAGTCTTTGCATGTGAAGATAGAAGAAGCGAATCATAAAGTTGAAGATCTAGAACGCAAACAGTCTAATTCTGTTAAAGTAGAGGAAGATCTAAGGAAAGAACTGGCGCAAACTCGCGACGATTTGAAAGCCAAGATCTCAGAAGTTGAGAACGTGAAGAAAGAATGTAACGTGCAGCTGAGTCAGAAGTCTCACGAACTGGACGATAGAAATAATACAATATCGCGTAACAGTGAAGAAATTACGAAACTTACCGACCAGTTGAACGAACTCAAGCAGAGTTTCGAGGACACGAAGAAAGATATTCATAGCAGACATGCTCGTCAAGTTGCTTCGCAAGATTCGCAGTTGATGGCTTTATCAGCTGAACTCCAACAGAAGAATGAAGAGATCACGAAATATTCCATAGTGATCAGCAAGTTAGAAGAAGATCTTTGTACGAAGAACGGAATTATCGAAAAATTGCGGTTGGAGGTGGAGTCGTGGAGACAACAACAAGCTACCGCTAGCGAAACTTCGTCATCTATGACTAAGCAATCGAACGAGTTAAGTTTGAAGTGTGGTGATTTGGAGCGGCAGTTGCAAGCGGCACATGGACACATCAACAATCTACAAGAGATTAAACAGGGTCTAGAAAGCGAAATTCAATCTCTTATGGTTAAGTGCGAGGGTGCTGCTCAGTTGGAACAGCTCAGGAATGCTCTTCAAGCCAAAGAAGGCATGTTAGCGGCAATGCGAACTGACTTGGAGCAAAAACTTCACAACTCAGAGAGGCTCAATCATGAGCTTCAGTTGCAGCATCAGTCCGTTCTTGCCGAATCCAACAAACTGAAACAGGAGTTAGAAAACAAACTGCAAATCAGCATGCAGTCTGAGCAGATGGGCAAACAGCGTTATGACAGTGTTGTAGCCGAATTGGCCAAAGTTCGTGAGGAACACGGAGGGACCATCAACCAACTACAAAGAACCGTGCAAGAAAAAGATCTAGCTCTAAAGAATTTCGAAAGCAACTACAACGAAAATCTGAAACAATATCAGGCACAATGGCAAGCTAGCAACGAAAATCTTAAACAAAGCTTGGAAACCTGTCAACAAAGGATAGGTTCTCTCAATGATGAAACCATGCAGCTTAAATCACAGTTGATGAAGAAATCCGAAGAGCTGATCGAAGCCCAGACTGCTGCAAGTCACGTCGCTGCACAAAGCAAACAAGCCGAAAGAGAACACCAACAAGCATGCGACGAGAACACCAGAAGATTAGAATTCGAACTTAACGAGAGAAGCTTACATTTACAGAAGGCCTTAAACGAACTGGATCTGCTCAGAAACGATTGTCACTCCTCTAGTGTTAATCTAACCGACAAAGATCGCCAAATCGGCGAATTAAGTGCACAAATCCAACAATCGCAAACTTTCATCACGAAATTGCAAGAAGATTTGAACATGGCGCACTCTCTGAACGCACAAAAAGCACAAGAACACGCAACCATGCAAAGTCAGTGTCAAGGTTTAATAGAAAAAGTCGCCACTTTAACACAACAAGCGCAAAGTGGCGAGGAAGTTTCAAGGAATCTCCAAGTCGAATACAACAATGCCATGCATTTGATGCAGCGGTTGAGGATCACCGAACAACAGAAACAAGAGTGCTTGCAACGGCTGGAACAAGAAGCTGCCCGCACTGCCGAAAATAAAAACTGTACCTCCGCTATGGGTATTTTAGAGAAGATTCAAATCGAGACAAGAGATAAAGAGACTCCAGAAAAAATCATAAATCTGCAGAAAAATGTTGAAGTTGTGACGAACCAACTCACCGAACGAAACCACCAGTACGAGGCTCAACAGGCCGAGTTGTTGCGTCTACAGGAGGAATTACTGAAGGTAAGTGCTTGATGAGATTGTTAGAAAATTGGTCGTGTATCGTGGGCAGAAACGATGTTTTTCTCATCCTGATTCGAAAAATGTACCAAAATTTTTATGTTCATTCAAAAGCTGAAATCATTCAGCGCGTTTCGATTACAAATGTAATTTGCCCGAGGAAAATGGACGTTATGTCCATATCAAAGTGAGTTGATACTAAGTGACGTGAAATTTAACATAATAGTTACATTATTTGCTTATTTAAGATCAATTACTATTTCTATACAAGTTTGTTGTCAGTATACGGAACATGCAGTGATTTTGACTACAATAGATGGTTGGTTTTCCAGAATTTCGTTTTCAAGGAATAGGTAATGACATATTTTTTCGAAATTTGTCAAGATGTATCCCTTTGTTCAAAGAAAACGTGTTTTTTATTACTGTACAGAAAGCCACAAAGGCAGACGTGGGCTTTTATCTACACAAAACATCATTATGACATCTGCTAACACTTTTGTCCACTTTTGTTGACCGTGAAGTTATTCATTCAACAGACAAAAAAGGAACCATAAAGTTATTCGATAGTTCCATGAAGTTTCCGTGATAGTCAAAACTTGTGTAAAACTCGTTATTTTGCCCTCGACGTGTCACCTGTCACGACTTTCGTCTCGTGTATCTATGTTACAACAGCAAAAAAAGAGAGTTTAAAGCTTGAAACTTAGAAATTTCTCTGTTCAGGCCCAGGAAGCCCACAGACATTGCAGCCAAGGCCAGGAACAAAGCTCAGTAAGCCAAGTAAACACCACACAAACACAGGACACTACAAAACTGCATGATTACAATCCTCAAACCCTTTACGAACTGCAGGTTCAATTAACAGTTGCAAGAAACGCGTTCGCGAGTCTTTCGCAGCAATTCGAAATTCTCCAAAAAGAGAAAGGCGATTTAATAGTACAGTTACAAAATGCGGTGTCTAATCACAATCCGTCAAATTTAAATAACGCAGTTAATCATTTAGCTCAAGTTAATTACACGCCTTTTAAAGACAGAATGGAAGAGTACAATGCCAATTTGAGGAAAACAGTGCAGTATGCAATATTACAACTGCAAGAAAAAGAGCGGATTTTGATTGATAGACAGACCGAGATTCAAAATTTGCGTCAGGTCGTTCGGGACCTACCAATGCAATGTAAATCTTTTGCCGTCGTCCAAGAAGCTAAAAGTGGTATAAACGCGTGTGGGAATGTAGCGCTCGATCAAAAGAAATGTCAAGATATTATAGTTACTAAGGAGACGCAAATACAAGACCTGAGGAAGCAAGTGAGCAATTTGTTAAATGAATATACTCACAAGTCGGGTAGGGATTGTGTCCAACAGCCTTGTATTTGCCCTCCACAAGAACCAATTGTCAAAGTAGTACCTGCCCCTGCTAAGGTAGTACGTGTGTTAGTACCGGTTGTTCAACCGAAAGTTGTCGTTAAGCAAGTTCCAGTACACGCAGTTAACAATCGTAAGTGTCCACCTCCGCAAATCCAAAAGATCGAAGTACCTAAAATTATCGTTCAAAGAGTACCGGTGAACATAGCGCAGTGTATTCTACCAGATTTGAGACCTTTGTACGAATGCGGTTCGGTGGAAGAATCAATTGACCACCTTAATTTGGCTAGTTATAGTTCTCAAGAAAGTTTCAAATTCAAACAATCGCTCTTGTCGATAATCGGACGACAGAGAAATTGTATAGCGTCCAATATTCAAACTTGTTCGATATTACCTCGACTTGAAATACCCGATCAATGTGTCGCGCCTTCTGCTTTCGTAAATAATTTAGTCCTTCCAGGTTATAGTCCTGATGTTACTACTTCGTATAAACAGTCGCTTTTCTATCTCTTGAACCATGTAGAAAAGTGTGCGTCTGCGCCGCCCAATAAAACTGAATTTACTAAGTTAGAAACAAAAGAACCACCACTTGTGGTTTCTGGTACGAAGCAACAAGTCGTGAATTGTCCCAAATTACCCTTGCTTCAAGTACCACAAGCCTGTGTGGCCGCTGCGCAAATCGTCAGCGATACTTCGATTTCAGGATACAGTCCTTCAGAAGTCGATGTATTCAAACAGTCACTGCTAAAAGTACTATCACATGTCGAACAGTGCCATTATAATGCAAATGTTTCTGTACAAACGAACAATTGCGCACAGGTACGTCTCCCACCTTTAACCCTACCGAATGCATGTGTCCCACCTAGACGGTACGTTGACAGTTTGTTGCTACAAAATTATCAACCCTCCGACGTTATCGCGTTCAAGCAATCACTCATCGAAGTGATTTTGAAACTTCAGAATTGTCAGTCTCGACCAAATGTTCTACCCGCAATACCGACTTGTCGTGATCTTCCTCCCTTACCATCTATACAAGATTGTGTCGCACCTTCAGACATAATTCAACAACTGAGTCTGAACGCGTTCCCTCAATGGCAGTCACAAATCTTCAAAGAGTCCCTCCTTCAGTTGTTAAATTTGCAGCAGAAATGTTGCAATTATGGTGCTATTAAAGTGGTAGAAAAACCAGTGTTTGTGCGCATACCGATCGAAGTACCAAAAGTAGTCCAACAAATACGTGAAGTACCAGTAAAAGTGCTCGTTCCTCAGCCCGCGAAAATCATCGTGAAGGAAGTACCGGTACCTCAGCCGCCTAAGGTCATTATTAAACAAGTCCCGGTTTATGTACCGCAACCTCCTCAAATCATTACACAACAAGTACGAGTTCCTGAGAGTAAAGATTTTAAGCCGACGATTCAACAAGTACCAGTTAAAGTTCCCGTGCCGGTCAAAATTAAAGTGCCCGTTTTCGTTCCTAGGGAAAAAGAGTGTCGTTTGCCTAACGTGAACGTCTTTGACTGTTCTGTGCCTTCAGTTAGTATTAACTATCTTAATTTATCGAATTATCAATCTTCGGATGTAGCCACGTTTAAAGAAGGATTATTATCATTAATACAGGCTCAAAGAGATTGTGGTCCAAAAGTACTGCAGCAAAGGATCCCAGTTCCAATACCCACCATTCTGAAAATTCCGGTTTATATTCCACAGAAACCTGGGGAATTGATTAAAGAAGTGCCAGTACCATGTAAGTGCAATTTACCAACATTGGTACCTTTGGAAGGTTGTGTCACCGAAGATATGCTTGATAGATTAACGGTTCCTAATGTTTGCAGCCAAACAGATACAAGTGCATTCAAAGAAAGTCTTTGGAAAGTACTCGAAAACCAAAAGAAGTGCATTTCGGTGCAACCCCAAGTGGTGATTAAACAAGTTCCAGTTTCGGTACCACAGCCGCCAAGGATCGTTAGGCAGCAAGTACCTACGAATTGTAACAAGGGAGCCAATGTAATCGCAAAGGAAAAACCGGTCTATGTATCATCACAACCTCGTATAATAATTAAACAAGTTCCCGTTAGAGTTCCCGTTCTAGTTAGAGTACCGGTTAAAGTACCAGTCGTGCAGAAACAAGTTGTCGAAGTTCCGAAAATCGTTGTTAAAGAAGTAAAAGTTCCCGTTAATGGGCCAGTCCCAGTACGTGTGGTGCAATCTCCGAAAATAATAATTAAACAAGTACCAGTACCGGTTCCTCAGCCGCCTAAAATAATATTGAAACAAGTACCTGTTCGAACTAATAGCCCTAATTACCACACGTCTAAACCTGTGGTTTTATATAAAGACAGAACGGTAGCGGTTCCTACACCACCACGTATAATTATCAAACAAGTTCCCGTTATGGTGAAAGTACCGGTGAAAGTGCCAGTTCCAGTGCAGGTAAAAGTACCCGTTAGGATACCATACCAAGTCCCAACTACATCACGAGGAGAATGTCATCTACCCACTATACAAATCGATACTTGTTTAGATTTGGGTCATCAAATTGATTCTTTGCCTTTGACCACCTATAACACCGAACAAGTGACACATTTCAAGAAAAGTCTGTACGTAGCTCTCATGCAGCAGAGGCAATGTCTACAATGTCGGTTGCCAGAAGTGAACGTGCACGGATGTGAACGCGTGGAAGACCAGATCAATTCCTTAAACTTTGCAGGATACACAGCGTGGGACGCACAAAAGTTCAAAGACAATATTTTGTCTTTGCTTCAACAACAACGAGATTGCATGTCGATATCATCAGGATCATTGAAAGAATCTCACGGGCATTACAAATGTGTTTTGCCCCGCATTAATGTCGCCGGATGTGAAGAACTGGAAAAACAAATCAATTTTATGAGTGTAGCCGGTTACGATGTGGCAGACGTTAACGCATTCAAGGAACAACTTTTCAATATGTTACTTCAACAAAGGCAGTGCACTGCACCTCAAAATTGTCCTGTGAAAGAAATTAAAATACTTGGGCCTCCGAAAGTTATATATAAACAAGTACCGGTCTTTATTCCTCAACCACCAAAGATTCTTTATAAGCAGATACCTATACCCATGTCAAATTGTAGCGAGAAAACGAGGGTTGTCATCAAGGAGAAACCCGTACCGATACAACTACCGCCACAGACAATTACCAAACAAGTGCCTGTTCCTGTCAGAGTTCCAGTAGAGGTTAAAGTACCAGTTAGAGTGGAAGTACCTGTGCCTATGACGCCCGATTGTCATTTGCCTAATATAAATGTATATGATTGCGATGAAGAACTACAAGCTAAAATTCACTCATTGGTGTTTCCACATTTTGATGCTTCTGAAGTGTCAACGTTTAAAAATAATCTCCTACGTATGTTCCTAGCACAAAGAAGATGTTCGCAAGGAGGTGTAAACTATGTTAAGGTTCCAGTAGCGGTTCCTCAACCTCCAAAAGTTGTTGAGTCAACACCATTACCAGGACTATCACGTCTACAAGAGTCTAATAACCAATGGGTTCATGATACTACAACAGCTGTGGGAAAAGAAATTATTAAAGAAGGCAAGGTACCTGTTTACCAACGAATAATCGTAAAAGTACCTGTTAGGGTTCCAGTCCCGGTTAACCGAATCGTCCAAGTTCCAAAAGAAGTGATTAAATATCTACCTTGTGAACAAGAAAGACCTACAAAATTCGGACCATCACAGACAGTGAAAGAGGTTGTTAAAGAAATAAGGGTGCCCGTAAGAGTGCCAGTACCACAACCACCGAAAATTTTGATCAAACAAGTACCGGTACCGGTACCTGCACCACCAAGAGTTATTGTGAAACAAGTACCGGTATTTGAAAAGTGTGATCATAAACCACATGTTGTCTTTAAAGAAAAACCGATTCCTGTTCCCATTCCATCTCGACCACAAATTATGATTAAACAAGTACCGGTTAAGATTCCTACATACGTTAAAATTCCAGTCCCTGTTAAAACACAGTGTCATTTACCAGCTCTCAATCTCAACGCTTGCGTGGATATTGAAAGAGAAGTCAGCTCCCTGATACTGCCTAATTATGATCAAGCAGAAGTAGCACACTTCAAAGAAAAACTTCTTGCAGCTCTTGTCCGACAAAGGACTTGTACGCAATGTGGGTTACCTAACATAAATATTGGTGATTGTGATGATTTACCACGACAAATTGAATCTATTCAACTGCCAAATTATGCTTTGTCAGACGTACAGACATTTAAACAGAATCTCTTGTGGATGCTTCTAAAGCAGCGGAACTGTGTAAAGCCACGTGAATGTAATAATTTGCCACAGATAGCGCAAGTACCTCAAAGAATTCCAATTTTAGGCCAACACAGCTTACCTCAAGTTCCACAAGAGAGCAGAGTTCCCGTACATGAAGTACCAAAAGAAGTTGTGAAGGTGGTGAAAGTACCAGTTCCACAACCTCCGAAAATAATAATCAAACAAGTAACCGTTCCGGTCCCTCAGCCACCGAAAATTATAGTGAAACAAGTACCTATTGTTATTTCCAAATGTAACCAGAAGCCACGAATTATAGTGAAAGAAAAACCAGTACCTGTTCAAGTAGTTAGGCCTCCGATTATCAAGGAAAGACCGGTTATGGTTAGAGTACCTGTACCCGTTCCGGGCAAGTGTAATCAACCGCCCCAAGGTATACATAAAACGAATTTAGAGCGTCCTCCAATAACTCAGCAACCTGTTATCAAGGAAGAACTCATTCCTTCTCAGGTGAATTTGAGATGTCATCTACCAAGGCTAAATATATTCGCTTGTGGAGACATCGAAAATAGTATTGCCGCTTTGACAATTTCTGGCTACGATTCTTCAGAAATTAGCGAGTTTAAACACAATCTGTTATCAATTATTTCGAGACAAAGAGAGTGTACATCGTGTCATCTTCCCGATATAAATCTAGGCGGTTGTGTAAATGTAGAACAGCAAATCGCTTCCTTAACTTTAGCAAATTACGATACGAGGGAAGCAGATGTATTTAAACAAAAATTACTGTCATTAGTTGGAGATCAAAGAAACTGTGGACAGCAGGTTCCCAAAGAAATAATTAAATATGTGAAAGTTCCAGTAGAAATTCCAAAAATTGTAGTGAAGGAAATTAAAGTGCCTGTTAATGTTCCTGTACAAGTGCCATCTCCGCCAAAAGTTTTAATCAAACAAGTTCCTATGCCTGTAGTTCAACCACCTAAAATATTATTCAAACAAGTACCAATATATATAACGAAATGTAGCAACAAACCACAGATTGTTGTGAAGGAGAAACCAGTACCCGTTCCGTCACCACCTCGTATAGTCGTCAAACAAGTCCCCGTTAAGGTGACTGTGCCTGTTAACGTTCCGGTACGAGTACCAGTTGAAGTACCAGTTAAAGTACCAGTACCTATGCATATAAAAGTTCCAGTTCCTGTTAGAGGGGAATGCCATCTACCAGTTGTGAATATAGCGAGCTGTGAGACAGTACAAAATGACATTGAACATTTAAATTTCGACGGATATAATATGAACGAGGTGTCTCAGTTCAAACACAATTTGTGGGATGCGCTCATGAAACAAAGGAATTGTGTTGCTCAACCCCAGACTGTCGTTCCTCAGGTTAATGCACATGCTAATATCAATTGCCGTCTACCTGAAATTAACATACAGGGTTGTGAGGCATTGCAACAACAAGTAAGTTCTTTGAACATCGATGGTTTTAACCCTACCGAAGTATCCAGATTTAAACAAAACTTGTTAGCGGTACTGACGAACTTACAACAATGTGAAACTCCTGTGCCGAAAAACTTCGAACCTGTTAAATGTCACTTACCAGTTATCAATGTGAACGATTGTAACGAGATTCAACATCATATTTCGTCTTTGACTTTGCCTGGATACGATTCTTCGGAAGTTAATTTGTTTAAGCAGAACCTCTTCTCGCTCCTGTCCATGCAAAAGAATTGTTACAGTACAAACCAACCTCCTCCACAGTGTCCTAGTAACGTAGTGGGAAAACCTGTTCACATCAAAGTACCCGTCGATAGGCCTGTATATGTAAGGGTACCCGTCGATAGAGTAAAAGTGGTAGTCAAAGAAGTTAAAGTACCAGTTAACGTACCCGTTCCGACTCCATCTGCTCCCAAGATTTTGATAAAAGAAGTTCCTGTTCCGGTGCCACAGCCTCCAAAGATCATACATAAGGTTGTGATGTCTCCTAATAAAGAACCCCCAAGAGGGCCTGTACCAGTACCTTCACCACCTCGAATAATCGTGAAAGAAGTTAAAGTTCCTGTACCAGTACCATCTCCTCCTAAGATTATTATTAAACAAGTTCCTGTTTCGGTGCCACAACCACCAAAGATTATAATTAAACAAGTCCCCCAAGTGATTACTAAGTGTAACGAACCACCAAAAATAGTCGTGAAAGAGAAACCTGTACCGGTTCCTTCACCACCTAAAATAATCGTGAAGCAAATTCCTGTTAAAATACCTGTGAGTGTACCGGTTTCAGTACCATGTACTCCTAAGATTATCGTTAAACAAGTACCGGTACCGGTACCGCAACTATCCGAAAACACACAAGAACGTGTGGAGTTTGGCAATAAGGAAGAAGGAGGAGCTATATTCGGGAAGAGACCAGAACCGGTTCTGTCACCACCTCGTATAATTGTGAAAGAAGTTCCTGTTAGAGTGAATGTACCGGTTAAAGTTCCAGTACGAGTACCAGTGGAAGTTCCGGTTAGAATACCCATACCTGTACATGTAAGAGTCCCAGTTCCTGTAGTAGGTACTTGTCGTCTACCGGTTGTAGATATAGGAAGCTGCGAAAATGTGAAACAGGAAATCCAGCAGTTGGATATCAATGGATACGAACAGGGTGAAATACAGAACTTCAAACAAAATCTGTTCAATATGTTTATGAGACAGAGAAATTGCGGTACTCATAGAGATGATTCAAACCGTGTGATTCACGGAAATGGGCTTCCGCCAAAGCCAGTAATCGGTGGTAACTTAGTAACACCACCACCACAAGTAATAGTGAAGCAAGTTCCTGTCCCAGTACTGCAACCGAAGGTCATTATTAAACAAGTACCGGTACCCGTTAGCTGTGATCACAAACCAAAGATTATAATCAAGGAGGTACCAAGACCAGTTCCTTCACCTCCGCGCGTTGTCATTAAAGAAGTACCGATACGTGTACCAGTTGGAGGAGATTGTCGATTGCCAGAGATCAATATACAGGGGTGTGAGGCGTTCGATCAACAAATTAATTCTGTGACATTCACAGGATTTGCTCCTAATGAGGTACTCAAGTTTAAACAGAATCTCTTAGCGCTTCTGACTAATCTGCAACAGGTTTGCGTATCCAAACTAGAACCTAACAGATGTTTCCTACCACAAATAAACGTCAACGATTGTGAAAACATTCAAACACAAATAGCGTCTTTGAATCTGCAAGGTTATGACACTTCACAAGTCGAGCGATTTAAACAAAACCTTCTTTCGCTATTAGCGGTACAAAGAAATTGTTATCAAACCCCAACGGCTCCTAAGATTGTGGCTGAACAAGTTCGTGTACCAATTAAAGTACCAGTACCTGTGCATATGAAGGTTCCAGTTCCCGTTAACGGGGAATGCCATCTACCAGTTGTGAATATAGGGAAATGTGATGCGGTACAAAATGATATTGAAAGTTTAAATATCAACGGATACAATATGGACGAGGTAATTCAGTTCAAACAGAATTTGTTCGATGCGCTCATGAGACAAAGGAATTGTGTTCCTCAATCCCAGACTGTCGTCCCTCAGGTTAATGCACATACTAATATAAATTGCCGTCTACCAGAAATTAGCATACAGAGTTGTGAGGCATTGCAGCAACAAGTGGGTTCTTTGAATATCGATGGTTTTAACCCTACTGAAGTAATCCGATTTAAACAAAACTTGTTAGCGGTACTTACAAACATACAACAGTGTGGAACTCCTGTGCCCCAAAAGTTCGAGCCTGTTAAATGTCACTTACCAGTTATCAACGTGAACGATTGTGACGAGATCCAACATCATATTTCATCGTTGATTCTGCCTGGGTACGATTCTTCGGAAGTTAATTCATTTAAACAGAACCTCTTCTCGCTGCTGTCTATGCAAAAGAATTGTTACAGTACAAACCAACCTCCTCCGCAATGTCCTAATAATGTAGTAGAAAAACCTGTACCCGTTGATAGGCCTGTATTTGTAAGGGTACCCGTCGACAGAGTAAAAGTGGTAGTCAAAGAAGTTAAAGTACCAATTAATGTACCCGTTCCGACTCCATCTGCTCCAAAAATTTTGGTAAAAGAAATTCCTGTTCCGGTGCCACAACCTCCAAGGATCATACATAAGGTAGTGATGTCTCCTAATAAAGAACCACCAAGAGTTATTGTTAAGGACAGACCGGTACCTGTGCCTTCACCACCTAGAATTATTGTAAAAGAAGTTAAAGTTCCAGTCAAGGTACCAGTTCCATCTCCTCCTAAAGTTATTATTAAACAAGTTCCTGTTCCGGTGCCACAGCCACCAAAGATCATAGTTCAAAAGGTACCCCAAGTGGTTTCTAAGTGCAATGAACCACCAAAAATTATCGTAAAAGAGAAGCCCGTTCCAGTTCCTTCACCACCTAAAATAGTCGTAAAACAAATTCCGGTTCGAGTCCCTGTTCCAGCACCATGTACGCCTAAGATTATCGTTAAACAAGTACCAGTACCGGTACCGCAACCGTTCGAAAAGACAGAAAATCAAGTGGAACTTGGCAATAAGGAAGAAGAAGGAGCTATCGTCCAGAACAGACCTGGACCGCCTCCTTCACCACCTCGTATAATTGTAAAGGAAGTTCCCGTTAGGGTACCAGTCCCAGTACCATGTGCCCCTAAGACTATTACTAAACAAGTTCCTATTCCTGTGCCACAACCACCAAAGATCGTGGTTAAAGAAGTACCCAAAGTGATTTATAGGTGTAATGAACCGCCAAAAACAGTTGTGAAAGAGAAACCTGTACCGGTTCCTTCACCACCTAAAATAATCGTGAAGCAAATTCCTGTTAAAGTACCTGTGAGTGTACCGGTTCCAGTACCATGTACTCCTAAGATTATCGTTAAACAAGTACCAGTACCGGTATCGCAACCGTTCCAAAACACAGAAAAACGTGTGGAGTTTGGCAATAAGGAAGAAGGAGGACCTATATTCGGGAAGAGACCACAACCGGTTCTTTCACCACCGCGTATAATTGTAAAAGAAGTTCCTGTTAGAGTGAATGTGCCAGTTAAAGTTCCAGTACGAGTACCAGTTGAAGTACCGGTTAGAATACCCATACCTGTTCATGTAAGAGTCCCAGTTCCTGTAGTAGGTGCTTGCCATCTACCGATTGTCGATATAGGAAGCTGCGAAAATGTGCAACAGAAAATCCACCAATTGGATATCAGTGGATACGACGTTGGTGAAATACAGAACTTCAAACAAAGTCTATTTAATATGCTTATGAGGCAGAGAAATTGCGGTACTAAATGTCTAAATAGAGATGATTCAAACCTTGTGATACACGGAAATGGGCTCCCGCCAAAGCCAGTAATCGGTGGTAACTTAGTAACACCACCACCACAAGTAATAGTGAAGCAAGTACCTGTCCCAGTACTGCAACCGAAGGTCATTATTAAACAAGTACCGGTACCCGTTAGCTGTGATCACAAACCAAAGATTATAATCAAGGAGGTACCAAGACCAGTTCCTTCACCTCCGCGCGTTGTCATTAAAGAAGTACCGATACGTGTACCAGTTGGAGGAGATTGTCGATTGCCAGAGATCAATATACAGGGGTGTGAGGCGTTCGATCAACAAATTAATTCTGTGACATTCACAGGATTTGCTCCTAATGAGGTACTCAAGTTTAAACAGAATCTCTTAGCGCTTCTGACTAATCTGCAACAGGTTTGCGTATCCAAACTAGAACCTAACAGATGTTTCCTACCACAAATAAACGTCAACGATTGTGAAAACATTCAAACACAAATAGCGTCTTTGAATCTGCCAGGTTATGACACTTCACAAGCCGAGACATTTAAACAAAATCTTCTTTCGTTGTTAGCGTTACAAAGAAATTGTTATCAAACCCCAACGGCTCCTAAGATTGTGGCTGACCAAGTTCGTGTACCGGTTAAAGTACCAGTACCTGTGCATATAAAGGTTCCAGTTCCTGTTGACGGGGAATGCCATCTACCAGTTGTGAATATAGGGAAATGTGATGCAGTACAAACTGATATTGAACGCTTAAATATCGACGGATTTAATATGAACGAAGTACTTCAGTTCAAACAGAATTTGTTGGATGCGCTCATGAGACAAAGGAATTGTGTTACTCAATCCCAGACTGTCATACCTCAGGTTAATACACATACTAATATAAATTGCCGTCTACCAGAAATTAACATACAGAGTTGTGAGGCATTGCAGCAACAAGTGGGTTCTTTGAATATCGACGGTTTTAACCCTGCTGACGTAATCCGATTTAAACAAAGCTTATTAGCGGCAATAACAAACATACAGCAGTGTGGAACTCCTGTACCCCAAAAGTTCGAGGCTGTTAAATGTCACTTACCAGTTATCAACGTGAACGATTGTGACAACATCCAACATCATATTTCATCGTTGATTCTGCCTGGGTACGATTCTTCGGAAGTTAATTCATTTAAACAGAACCTCTTCTCGCTGCTGTCTATGCAAAAGAATTGTTACAGTCCAAACCAACCTCCTCCGCAATGTCCTAATAACGTAGTAGAAAAACCTGTTCACATCAAAGTACCAGTTGATAGGCCTGTATATGTAAGGGTACCCGTCGACAGAGTAAAAATGGTAGTCAAAGAAGTTAAAGTACCAGTTAATGTACCCGTTCCGACTCCATCTGCTCCTAAGATTTTGGTAAAACAAGTTCCTGTTCCGGTGCCACAACCTCCAAAGATCATATATAAGGTTGTGATGTCTCCTAATCAAGAACCACCAAGAGCTATTGTTAAAGACAGACCGGTACCGGTACCTTCACCACCTAGAATAATTGTGAAAGAAATTAAAGTTCCAGTCAAGGTACCAGTTCCATCTCCTCCTAAAGTTATTATTAAACAAGTTCCTGTTCCGGTGCCACAGCCACCAAAGATCGTAGTTCAAAAAGTACCCCAAGTGGTTTCTAAGTGCAATGAACCACCAAAAATTATTGTAAAAGAGAAGCCCGTTCCAGTTCCTTCACCACCTAAAATAGTCGTAAAACAAATTCCGGTTCGAGTCCCTGTTCCAGCAACATGTACGCCTAAGATTATCGTTAAACAAGTACCAGTACCGGTACCTCAACCGTTCGAAAAGACAGAAAATCAAGTGGAACCTGGCATTAAGGAAGAAGAAGGAGCTATCGTCGAGAACAGACCTAGACCGCCTCCTTCACCACCTCGTATAATTGTAAAGGAAGTTCCCGTTAGGGTACAAGTCCCAGTACCATGTGCCCCTAAGACTATTATTAAACAAGTTCCTGTTCCTGTGCCACAACCACCAAAGATCGTGGTTAAAGAAGTACCCAAAGTGATTTATAGGTGTAATGAACCACCCAAAACAGTTGTGAAAGAGAAACCTGTACCAGTTCCTTCACCACCTAAAATAATTGTGAAGCAAATCCCTGTTAAAGTACCTGTGAGTGTACCGGTTCCAGTACCATGTACTCCTAAGATTATCGTTAAACAAGTACCAATACCGGTATCGCAACCGTCCCAAGGCACCGAAGAACGTGTGGAGTTTGGCAATAACGAAGAAGGAGGAGCTATATTCGGGAAGAGACCAGAACCGGTTCCTTCGCCACCTCGTATAATTGTAAAAGAAGTTCCTGTTAGAGTGAATGTGCCAGTTAAAGTTCCAGTACGAGTACCAGTTGAAGTACCGGTTAGAATACCTATACCTGTACATGTAAGAGTCCCAGTTCCTGTAGTAGGTTCTTGCCATCTACCGATTGTCGATATAGGAAGCTGCGAAAATGTGCAAGAGAAAATCCACCAATTGGATATCAGTGGATACGATGTTGGTGAAATACAGAACTTCAAACAAAATCTGTTCAATATGCTAATGAGGCAGAGAAATTGTGGTACTCAAAGTCCAAATAAAGTTGATTCAACCCCTATGATAGACGGAAATGGGCTTCCGGCACAACAAATAATCGGTGGTAACTTAGTAACACCACCACCACGAGTAATAGTGAAGCAAGTACCGGTACCCGTTAGCTGTGATCACAAACCAAAGATTATAATCAAGGAGGTACCAAGACCAGTTCCTTCACCTCCGCGCGTTGTCATTAAAGAAGTACCGATACGTGTACCAGTTGGAGGAGACTGCCGATTACCAGAGATCAACATACAGGGGTGTGAGGCTTTTGATCAACAAATTAACTCGGTGACGTTCCCAGGATTTGCTCCTAATGAGGTACTTAAGTTTAAACAGAATCTCTTATCGCTGCTGACTAATCTGCAAAACGTTTGCTTGTCCAGACCAGGACCTAACAGGTGTTTCCTACCACAAATAAACGTCAACGATTGTGAAAACATTCAAACACAAATAGCGTCTTTGAATCTGCCAGGTTATGATTCTTCACAAGTCGAGCCATTTAAACAAAATCTTCTTTCGTTGTTAGCGTTACAAAGAAATTGTTATCAAGTCCCAACGGCTCCTAAGATTGTGGTTAAACAAGTTCGTGTACCAGTACCTGTGCATATAAAGGTTCCAGTTCCAGTTAACGAGGAATGCCATCTACCAGTTGTGAAGATAGGGAACTGTGATGCAGTACAAAATGATATTGAAAGTTTAAATGTCAACGGATACAATATGGACGAGGTACTTCAGTTCAAACAAAATTTGTTGGGTGCGCTTATGAGACAAAGGAATTGTGTCACTCAATCCCAGACTGTCGTACCTCAGGTTAATGCACATGCTAATATAAATTGCCGTCTACCAGAAATTAACATACAGAGTTGTGAGGCATTGCAGCAACAAGTAAGTTCTTTGAACATCGATGGTTTTAACCCTACTGAAGTATCCAGATTTAAACAAAACTTGTTAGCGGTACTGACGAACTTACAACAGTGTGAAACTCCTGTGCCGAAAAACTTCGAACCTGTTAAATGTCACTTACCAGTTATCAATGTGAACGATTGTAACGAGATTCAACATCACATTTCGTCTATGACTTTGCCTGGATACGATTCTTCGGAAGTTAATTTGTTTAAGCAGAACCTCTTCTCGCTGCTGTCCATGCAAAAGAATTGTTACAGTACAAACCAACCTCCTCCACAGTGTCCTAAAAACGTAGTAGGAAAACCTGTTCACGTCAAAGTACCCGTCGATAGGCCTGTATATGTAAGGGTACCCGTCGATAGAGTAAAAGTGGTAGTCAAAGAAGTTAAAGTACCAGTTAACGTACCCGTTCCGACTCCATCTGCTCCTAAGGTTTTGGTAAAAGAAGTTCCTGTTCCGGTGCCACAACCTCCAAGGATCATACATAAGGTTGTGATGTCTCCTAATAAAGAACCGCCAAGAGTTATTGTTAAGGATAGACCTGTACCGGTACCTTCACCACCCAGAATAATTGTGAAAGAAGTTAAAGTTCCTATCAACGTACCAGTTCCAGTACCATCTGCTCCTAAGATTGTTGTTAAACAAGTCCCTGTTCCGGTGCCACAGCCACCAAAGATCATTATTAAACAAGTGCCTCAAGTAATTTATAAGTGTAATGAACCACCAAAAATAGTCGTCAAAGAGAAACCTGTACCAGTACCTTCACCTCCAAAAATAATCGTCAAAGAAATTCCTGTTAAAGTGCCTGTCAGGATACCAGTGTCATGTACTCCTAAAGTTATCGTTAAACAAGTTGCAGTACCGGTATCGCAACCACCAATAAATTCTGAAAGACCTGGACCGCCTCCTTCACCACCTCGTATAATTATAAAAGAAGTGCCTGTTAGGGTACCAGTTCCAGTACCATGTGTCCCTAAGACTATTACTAAAGAAGTCCCCGTTCCTGTGCCACAGCCACCAAGGATCATACTTAAGCATGTGCCCCAAGTGATTACTAAGTGTAATGAACCACCAAAAATAGTCGTGAAAGAGAAACCTGTACCAGTTCCTTCACCACCTAAAATAATTGTGAAGCAAATCCCTGTTAAAGTACCTGTGAGTGTACCGGTTCCAGTACCATGTACTCCTAAGATTATCGTTAAACAAGTACCAGTACCGGTATCGCAACCGTCCCAAGGCACCGAAGAACGTGTGGAGTTTGGCAATAAGGAAGAAGGAGGAGCTATATTCGGGAAGAGACCAGAACCGGTTCCTTCGCCACCTCGTATAATTGTAAAAGAAGTTCCTGTTAGAGTGAATGTGCCAGTTAAAGTTCCAGTACGAGTACCAGTTGAAGTACCGGTTAGAATACCTATACCTGTACATGTAAGAGTCCCAGTTCCTGTAGTAGGTGCTTGCCATCTGCCGATTGTCGATATAGGAAGCTGCGAAAATGTGCAACAGAAAATCCACCAATTGGATATCAGTGGATACGACGTTGGTGAAATACAGAACTTCAAACAAAATCTGTTCAATATGCTAATGAGGCAGAGAAATTGTGGTACTCAATATCCAAATAAAGTTGATTCAACCCCTATGATACATGGAAATGGGCTTCCGGCACAACCAATAATCGGTGGTAACTTATTAACACCACCACCACGAGTAATAGTGAAGCAAGTACCGGTACCCGTTAGCTGTGATCACAAACCAAAGATTATAATCAAGGAGGTACCAAGACCAGTTCCTTCACCTCCGCGCGTTGTCATTAAAGAAGTACCGATACGTGTACCAGTTGGAGGAGACTGCCGATTACCAGAGATCAACATACAGGGGTGTGAGGCTTTTGATCAACAAATTAACTCGGTAACGTTCCCAGGATTTGCTCCTAATGAGGTACTTAAGTTTAAACAGAATCTCTTATCGGTGCTGACTAATCTGCAAAACGTTTGCGTGTCCAGATCAGGACCTAACAGGTGTTTCCTACCACAAATAAACGTCAACGATTGTGAAAACATTCAAACACAAATAGCGTCTTGGAATCTGCCAGGTTATGACTCTTCACAAGTCGAGCCATTTAAACAAAATCTTCTTTCGTTGTTAGCGTTACAAAGAAATTGTTATGAAGTCCCAACGGCTCCTAGGATTGTGGTTAAACAAGTTCGTGTACCAGTTAAAGTACCAGTACCTGTGCATATAAAGGTTCCAGTTCCAGTTAACGGGGAATGCCATCTACCAGTTGTGAATATAGGGAACTGTGATGCAGTACAAAATGATATTGAAAGTTTAAATGTCAACGGATACAATACGGACGAGGTACTTCAGTTCAAACAAAATTTGTTGGATGCGCTTATGAGACAAAGGAATTGTGTTACTCAATCCCAGACTGTCGTACCTCAGGTTAATGCACATGCTAATATAAATTGCCGTCTACCAGAAATTAACATACAGAGTTGTGAGGCATTGCAGCAACAAGTAAGTTCTTTGAACATCGATGGTTTTAACCCCACTGAAGTATCCAAATTTAAACAAAACTTGTTAGCGGTACTGACGAACTTACAACAGTGTGAAACTCCTATCCCGAAAAACTTCGAACCTATTAAATGTCACTTACCAGTTATCAATGTGAACGATTGTAACGAGATTCATCATCACATTTCGTCTTTGACTTTGCCTGGATACGATTCTTCGGAAGTTAATTTGTTTAAGCAGAACCTCTTCTCGCTGCTGTCTATGCAAAAGAATTGTTACAGTCCAAACCAACCTCCTCCGCAATGTCCTAATAACGTAGTAGAAAAACCTGTTCACATCAAAGTACCAGTTGATAGGCCTGTATATGTAAGGGTACCCGTCGACAGAGTAAAAGTGGTAGTCAAAGAAGTTAAAGTACCAGTTAATGTACCCGTTCCGACTCCATCTGCTCCTAAGGTTTTGGTAAAAGAAGTTCCTGTTCCGGTGCCACAACCTCCAAGAATCATACATAAGGTTGTGATGTCTCCTAATAAAGAACCGCCAAGAGTTATTGTTAAGGATAGACCTGTACCGGTACCTTCACCACCCAGAATAATTGTGAAAGAAGTTAAAGTTCCTATCAACGTACCAGTTCCAGTACCATCTGCTCCTAAGATTGTTGTTAAACAAGTCCCTGTTCCGGTGCCACAGCCACCGAAGATCATTATTAAACAAGTGCCTCAAGTAATTTATAAGTGTAATGAACCACCAAAAATAGTCGTCAAAGAGAAACCTGTACCAGTACCTTCACCACCAAAAATAATCGTCAAACAAATTCCTGTTAAAGTGCCTGTCAGGGTACCAGTGTCATGTACTCCTAAAGTTATCGTTAAACAAGTTGCAGTACCGGTATCGCAACCACCAATAAATTCTGAAAGACCTGGACCGCCTCCTTCACCACCTCGTACTATTATAAAGGAAGTGCCTGTTAGGGTACCAGTTCCAGTACCATGTGTCCCTAAGACTATTACTAAAGAAGTCCTCGTTCCTGTGCCACAGCCACCAAGGATCATACTTAAGCATGTGCCCCAAGTGATTACTAAGTGTAATGAACCACCAAAAATAGTCGTGAAAGAGAAACCTGTACCAGTTCCTTCACCACCTAAAATAATTGTGAAGCAAATCCCTGTTAAAGTACCTGTGAGTGTACCGATTCCAGTACCATGTACTCCTAAGATTATCGTTAAACAAGTACCAGTACCGGTATCGCAACCGTCCCAAGGCACCGAAGAACGTGTGGAATTTGGCAATAAGGAAGAAGGAGGAGCTATATTCGGGAAGAGACCAGAACTGGTTCCTTCGCCATCTCGTATAATTGTAAAAGAAGTTCCTGTAAGAGTGAATGTTCCGGTTAAAGTTCCGGTACGAGTACCAGTTGAAGTCCCGGTTAGAATACCCATACCCGTACAAGTAAGAGTTCCAGTCCCTGTAGTAGGTGCTTGCCACCTCCCGATTGTCGATGTAGGAACCTGCGAAAATATACAACAAGAAATCCACCAATTGGATATCAGTGGATACGATGTTGGTGAAATACAGAACTTCAAACAAAGTCTGTTTAATATGCTTATGAGGCAGAGAAATTGCGGTACTGAGTGTCCAAATAAAGTTTATTCAAATCCTGTGCTACACGGAAATGGGCTTCCGGCACAACCAATAATCAGTGGTAACTTAGTAACACCACCACAACGAGTAATAATGAAGCAAGTACCTGTACCAGTACCGCAACCTAAGGTCATTATTAAACAAATTCCGGTACCCGTAAGCTGTGATCACAAACCAAAGATTATAATCAAAGAGGTACCAAGACCAGTTCCTTCACCTCCGCGCGTTGTCATTAAAGAAGTACCTATACGTGTACCGGTTGGAGGAGATTGTCGATTACCAGAGATTAACATGCAGGGTTGTGAGGCGTTCGACCAACAAATTGACTCAGTGACTTTCGCAGGGTTTGCTCCTAGTGAGGTACTTAAATTTAAACAAAATCTTTTGGCACTTTTGACAAATGTACAGCAAGTTTGCGTGTCTAAACCGGAACCAGTGAAGTGTAATCTACCACAAATAAACTTCAGCGATTGTGAAAATCTCCAAACAAACATAGCATCTTTAAATTTGCCAGGTTACGACACTACACAAGTTGAATCATTCAAACAAAATCTGCTTTCATTGTTAGCATTACAAAGAAATTGTTATCAAACCCCAACGGCTCCTAAGATTGTGGCTGAACAAGTTCGTGTACCAGTTAAAGCACCAGTACCTGTGCATATAAAGGTTCCAGTTCCCGTTAACGAGGAATGCCATCTACCAATTGTGAATATTGGGAACTGTGATACAGTACAAACAGATATTGAACGCTTAAATGTCGACGGATTCAATATGAACGAAGTACTTCAGTTCAAACAGAATTTGTTCGATGCGCTTATGAGACAAAGGAATTGTGTTACACAGTTCCAGACTGTCGTACCTCAGCTTAATGCACATGCTAATATAAATTGCCGTCTACCAGAAATTAACATACAGAGTTGTGAGGCATTGCAGCAACAAGTAAGTTCTTTGAACATCGATGGTTTTAACCCTACTGAAGTCTCCAGATTTAAACAAAACTTGTTAGCGGTACTGACGAACTTACAACAGTGTGAAACTCCTGTCCCGAAAAACTTCGAACCTGTTAAATGTCACTTACCATTGATCAATGTGAACGATTGTAACGAGATTCAACATCACATTTCGTCTTTGAATTTGCCTGGGTACGATTCTTCGGAAGTTAATTCATTTAAACAGAACCTCTTCTCGCTGTTGTCTATGCAAAAGAATTGTTACAGTACAAACCAACCTCCTCCGCAATGTCCTAATAATGTAGTAGAAAAACCGGTTCACATAAAAGTACCCGTTGATAGACCAGTATATATTAGAATACCCGTCGACAGAGAAAAAGTGGTGGTCAAAGAAGTTAAAGTACCGGTTAATGTACCCGTTCCGACTCCATCTGCTCCTAAGATTTTGGTAAAAGAAGTTCCTGTTCCAGTGCCACAACCTCCAAGGATCATACATAAGATTGTGATGTCTCCTAATAAAGAACCACCAAGAGTTATTGTTAAGGACAGACCGGTACCGGTGCCTTCACCACCTAGAATAATTGTGAAAGAAGTTAAAGTTCCAATCAAGGTACCAGTTCCAGTACCATCCCCTCCGAAGATTATTATTAAACAAGTTCCTGTTCCGGTGCCACAGCCACCAAAGATCATAATTAAACAAGTACCCCAAGTGATTTCTAAGTGCAATAAACCACCAAAAATTGTCGTAAAAGAGCAACCCGTTCCAGTTCCTTCACCACCTAAAATTGTCATAAAACAAATTCCTGTTAGAGTACCTGTTCCAGTACCATGTACTCCTAAGATAATCGTTAAACAAGTACCAGTACCGGTACCGCCACCGTCCAGAGACACAGAAAATCTTGTGAAGTTTGGCAATAACAAAGAGGAAGGAGGTATCGTTGAGAAGAGACCAGAACCGGTTCCTTCATCACCTCGTGTAATTGTAAAGCAAGTCCCCGTCAGGGTACCAGTTCCAGTACCATGTGTTCCAAAGACTATTATTAAACAAGTTCCTGTTCCGGTGCCACAACCACCAAAGATCGTAGTGAAAGAAGTACCCCAAGTGATTTATAAGTGTAATGAACCACCAAAAACAGTCATGAAAGAGAGACCGGTACCAGTTCCTTCACCACCTAAAATAATCGTGAAGCAAGTTCCTGTTAAAGTACCTGTGAGTGTACCAGTTCCAGTACCATGTGCTCCTAAGATTATCGTTAAACAAGTACCAGTACCGGTATCGCAACCGTCCCAAGGCACAGAAGAACGAGTGGAGTTTGGCAATAAGGAAGAAGGAGGGGCTGTATTCGGGAAGAGACCAGAACCGGTTCTTTCACCACCTAGTATAATTGTAAAAGAAGTTCCTGTTAGAGTGAATGTGCCAGTTAAAGTTCCAGTACGAGTACCAGTTGAAGTACCGGTTAGAATACCTATACCTGTACATGTAAGAGTCCCAGTTCCTGTAGTAGGTGCTTGCCATCTGCCGATTGTCGATATAGGAAGCTGCGAAAATGTGCAAGAGAAAATCCACCAATTGGATATCAGTGGATACGACGTTGGTGAAATACAGAACTTCAAACAAAATCTGTTCAATATGCTAATGAGGCAGAGAAATTGTGGTACTCAATGTCCAAATAAAGTTGATTCAACCCCTATGATACACGGAAATAAGCTTCCGGCACAACCAATAATCGGTGGTAACTTAGTAACACCACCACCACGAGTAATAGTGAAGCAAGTACCTGTCCCAGTACCGCAGCCGAAGATCATTATTAAACAAGTACCGGTACCCGTTAGCTGTGATCACAAACCAAAGATTATAATCAAGGAGGTACCAAGACCAGTTCCTTCACCTCCGCGCGTTGTCATTAAAGAAGTACCGATACGTGTACCAGTTGGTGGAGATTGTCGATTGCCAGAGATCAATATACAGGGGTGTGAGGCGTTCGATCAACAAATTAATTCTGTGACTTTCCCAGGATTTGCTCCTAATGAGGTTCTCAAGTTTAAACAGAATCTCTTATCGCTACTGACTAATCTGCAAAACGTTTGCGTGTCCAGACCAGAAGCTCACAGGTGTTTCCTACCACAAATAAACCTCAACGATTGTGAAAACATTCAAACACAAATAGCGTCTTTGAATCTGCCAGGTTATGACACTTCACAAGCCGAGACATATAAACAAAATCTTCTTTCGTTGTTAGCGTTACAAAGAAATTGTTATCAAGCCCCAACGGCTCCTAAGATTGTGGCTGAACAAGTTCGTGTACCAGTTAAAGTACCAGTACCTGTGGATATAAAGGTTCCAGTTCCCGTTAACGGGGAATGCCATCTACCAGTTGTGAATATAGGGAACTGTGATACAGTACAAACAGATATTGAACGCTTAAATGTCGACGGATTCAATATGAACGAAGTACTTCAGTTCAAACAGAATTTGTTCGATGCGCTCATGAGACAAAGGAATTGTGTTACTCAATCCCAGACTGTCGTACCTCAAGTTAATCCACATGCTAATATAAATTGCCGTCTACCAGAAATTAACATACAGAGTTGTGAGGCATTGCAGCAACAAGTGAGTTCTTTGAATATCGACGGTTTTAACCCTACTGAAATAATCCGATTTAAACAAAACTTGTTAGCGGTACTAACAAACATACAACAGTGTGGAACTCCTGTGCCGAAAAACATGGAGCCTGTTAAATGTCACTTACCAGTTATCAACGTGAACGATTGTAACGAGATCCAACATCAAATTTCATCTTTGATTTTGCCTGGGTACGATTCTGCGGAAGTTAATTCATTTAAACAGAACCTCTTCTCGCTGCTGTCTATGCAAAAGAATTGTTACAGTCCAAACCAACTTTATCCGCAATGTCCTAATAATGTAGTAGAAAAACCGGTTCACATAAAAGTTCCCGTTGATAGACCAGTATATATTAGAATACCCGTCGACAGAGAAAAAGTCGTGGTCAAAGAAGTGAAAGTACCAGTTAATGTACCCGTTCCGACTCCATCTGCTCCTAAGATTTTGGTAAAAGAAGTTCCTGTTCCGGTGTCACAACCTCCAAGGATCATACATAAGGTTGTGATGTCTCCTAATAAAGAACCACCAAGAGTTATTGTTAAGGATAGACCTGTACCGGTACCTTCACCACCCAGAATAATTGTGAAAGAAGTTAAAGTTCCAGTCAAGGTACTAGTTCCAGTACCATCTCCTCCTAAGGTTATCATTAAACAAGTTCCTGTTCCGGTGCCACAGCCACCAAAGATCATAATTAAACAAGTACCCCAAGTGATTTCTAAGTGCAATAAACCACCAAAAATTGTCGTACAAGAGAAGCCCGTTCCAGTTCCTTCACCACCTAAAATTGTCGTAAAACAAATTCCTGTTAGGGTACCTGTCCAACTACCAGTTCCAGTACCATGTACTCCTAAGATAATCGTTAAAGAAGTATCAGTACCGGTACCGCCACCGTCCAGAGACACAGAAAATCATGTGAAGTTTGGCAATAAGAAAGAGGAAGGAGCTATCGTCGAGAAGAGACCAGAACCGGTTCCTTCATCACCTCGTGTAATTGTAAAGCAAATCCCCGTCAGGGTACCAGTTCCAGTCCCATGTGTTCCAAAGACTATTATTAAACAAGTTCCTGTTCCGGTGCCACAACCACCAAAGATCGTAGTTAAAGAAGTACCCCAAGTGATTTATAAGTGTAATAAACCACCAAAAACAGTCATGAAAGAGAGACCGGTACCAGTTCCTTCACCACCTAAAATAATCGTGAAGCAAGTTCCTGTTAAAGTACCTGTGAGTGTACCAGTTCCAGTACCATGTACTCCTAAGATTATCGTTAAACAAGTACCAGTACCGGTATCGCAACCGTCCCAAGGCATACAAGAACGTGTGGAGTTTGGCAATAAGGAAGGAGGAGCTATATTTGGGAAGAGACCAGAACCGGTTTTGTCACCACCTCGTATAATTGTAAAAGAAGTTCCTGTTAGAGTGAATGTACCGGTTAAAGTTCCAGTACGAGTACCAGTTGAAGTACCGGTTAGAATACCCATACCTGTACATGTAAGAGTTCCAGTTCCTGTAGTAGGTGCTTGCCATCTTCCGATTGTCGATATAGGAACCTGCGAAAATATACAACAAGAAATCCACCAATTGGATATCAGTGGATACGATGTTGTTGAAATACAGAACTTCAAACAAAATCTATTCAATATGCTTATGAGACAGAGAAATTGTGGTACTCAGTGTCCAAATAAAGATGGTTCAGTACCTGTGATACACGGAAATGAGCTTCCAGTAAAGCCGATAACCAGTGGTAACTTAGTCACACCACCACAAGTAATCATAAAACAAGTGCCTATCCCCGTAGCTCAACCGAAGGTAATCGTTAAACAAATTCCAGTACCAGTAAAGTGTGATCATAAACCAAAGATAATAATCAAGGAGGTACCAAAACCAGTGCCCTCACCTCCTCGTGTTATTGTTAAGGAAGTACCTATACGTGTACCAGTTGGTGGAGAATGTCGATTACCAGAGATCAACATTCAGGGCTGTGAGGCGTTCGATCAACAGATTAACTCTTTAACAATCACAGGTTTCGCTTCTAATGATGTACTTAAATTTAAACAGAATCTTTTAGCGGTGTTGACTAATCTACAACAAGTTTGCGTACCCAAAGTGGAACCAAACAGGTGTCACCTACCGCAAATAAGCGTTAGCGGTTGTGAAAATATTCAAAACCAAGTAGCATCTTTGAATTTGCCAGGCTACGACACTTCAGAAGTCGAACCGTTCAAACAAAATCTCTTTTCGTTATTAGCATCACAAAGAGATTGTTATCAAAGACAAACAACGCATACAACTGGTGTAGGTGGGAAAGTCACGCCTCCACCACGGATTATCGAAAAACCGATTTATGTCCGACAACCTGTCGTTACCAAAGTTCCAGTCAGTGTTTGCACTGGGCAGAAGGGTACTCCGAGAGTAATACAGATGCGAGTACCTGTGTACATTAAAACGCCAGTACCCGTGCGAGTACCACAAATAGTAGAAAAAATTAAGAGGGTAATTCAACAGGTTCCAATACCTCAACCTCCAAAGATCATCGAAAAACCAGTTCCTGTCCCTGTACAACTACCTCCGAAGATCATTGTCAAAAAGGTGAACGTTCCGGTAGTGCAAGGTACGACCTGCCCTGAACCGAAATTAATTATTGAGAAAGTCCCTGTACCCCAACCTCCTAAGATTATCCAGAAACCTGTGCTAGTTCATGTTAAGGTGCCACCGAAGGTACTAATAAAACAGGTTTCTGTACCTTACATCAGGTATGTCAATTCTGGTATAACGCAACAACAGTCTTGCAATTTACCGGTGTTACCACCACCCAGTTGTACCGCCCCTGAAAGTTACGTTCAAGCAGTGACAATTAACGGTTGTTCTCCAGATGTTGTGTCAACATTTAAAAACACCCTAATTGATCTGCTCAAACAGCAGTTACTCTGTCAACCAAACAACATAACGCCTGTTATATCCCCCGTTAGCACGCACCCTCAACCCTTACCACGCGTTCCGGTAGTATTTAATCAAAATCAAGTTACGAACCACCAAACCCACAACGTCACATGTCCCGCTCGACTGAAAAGTTACGCTTCACAATTATGCGCTTTGCGAAAGGTAATTATGCGGCTAACACATAAAGTGCGACAATTGATTTCTGCGTCTTCTCGGCACAACATAACTGATTTGCAACTTGCTCCAAGACCTGCGGTTCCGATTCCTATGGCGCATGTTTTAAAGAATGTAGCTCCGTCTGTACCTGTAGTTCCATTCCAACAAATCGAATCTTCCTTGTCGTTTGTTCAGAACATGAATTTAGCGTACAAAAAAACACAACAAGCATTAACACATTGCATGGACGCCGTTGTGGCTCAAAGTTTAACACTCTCACAGATCAAATCCCAATGTAATGCTTGCAATCAGATCCTTCAAGACAAAGAACTGGCGGAAAATCAGATCAAGTTCCTGAATTCGATCATAGTGGATATCCAGAGGAAGAACGACGAACAGAAAGCCCGAATTGAGATTCTGGAAGCCGGGTGCAGCCCGGAGATGGCCAACGAATTGAAATTGTAAGTTGATTTCAGTATTTAAATGTTAGAGTTTTCGAGACACGTAAAAATCACGTAGCGTCTAACATGATTGATAAAAATCTTCGATCAAGGGAGGTTGTGACCGGGGCATGGCAGGTATGTACTCTACCATTTGTAATAGAGGGACTATAATACTTACAAAATTTCAGAGCACTCTATTTTGAAGTTTCTGAGTCAAATTGTAAAGTTAAGGCGGATTCATAAAACACAAATAAATAAGGATGGGAGACCTATTTTTCATGCTTCAGGGGTGCGCTTATGCTTGGGAAGTAAAAAACAAATAAATTAAATTCAAGTTCTTCCCGTCCCACGTAAGACAAGAGTGAATGAACAGCTTTAATACAATGTGTTTTTATGAAACAATTCAACGAATTTTTATCTTTTATTTGATGTCATCGTATGTTTTGATGACGTTTAACTACGTTATCGGTGACTTAGTGGTTTTTAGGGTCAGATTTCAGAGGATTTATAATACAAAAAAATCGCAATAGGGTCATCTTTAAAGTTTGTCGTACAATATTTTGTGGAAAAATAAATAAAAGTACACACTTTGTCATGGTATCAATTAAATGAAATTTTAATATACACAGTGTTTATAAAAAAATTCTAAAACTTTACAATTTTCAAATATCGATATTTCAGTTTTTTTAAGAGAACAGCCTGTATGTTATTACTGTATCTTATTCTATTTGTTGTCCCATTCTTTTAATTTGTTGATGTGTCTCTTAAAAAAAGTCGCATAACTATCAGCTTTAGATATATTAAAAAAGTACTTTACAAAGAGAACAAAAATGGAATAAAATGCAGTCATTTAAAATGGGTGTTCTATGCGAAAAAATTGAAATATTGTTGTTTGAACATTGTAGTAGTTACATTTTTTTATAAACACTCTGTATATGAAAATTAATTTCATTTATACCACTACAAAGGCGTCCCTTTATTTATCTCTCCACAAATTATTTTAATGCAGAGTTTAAAATTAATTCTAGTGCGATTTGTTTTGTGAATCCTTTGATTTCAAAAATAAACTTTAGTTGTAAAAGGTCAATCAATTTGTGTAAAAACATGTAGGGTGTTTCATTGGAAAAAAATTAAATTGTGTGTTATGCCTTAAAAACGGGACACTGTATATGTAGTCAAAAATAATTTTAGAGTATATTGAACTCTCGAGAGCCTTATAGATCGATTCTGGTTAGTAGTAGATGCATTATAAGTATGACCCATAAAATCAAAAACTACAGTGTTTTTTATAGTACACGAAACTGCCTTGACTAATCAGCTGAGAGTTCTACAATGATCGAAGTATACAATTTTGAGCCTCTTTCACTTGAAAGTATGCGTTTTTTTCAATTTAATTCTCTTACGCAGGTTTGGCTCACCAGGGAACCAAGGTCCTCCACGAATGTACTGCGACATATGCGAAGAATTTGATTTACACGAAACAGAAGACTGTCCCAAACAAAACTCGGACGATGCACCAGCTATTGGAAAACGAGTCCCTAGAAGCGTCACCGAGAGGCCATACTGCGAGATATGCGAGGGTTTGTTCAAAAAGTATCGCCACTAGCCATCTTTAATTCACTTTGTTTTTTTTTAGCTTTTGGTCATGCGACGGAAGATTGCACAGAAGATCAGACCTTTTAGATCACTTATTAATAATTTATTTTAGCCAATTAATAAATATCTTGTAATATATCTAGTTAATATTTATTCAAAAAAAAAATTATGGATTTTGTATAAATTCAGTGCTCCCTGAAGTAATTGTAAATATTGGATTGTACAAGAGGAATGAGTAAATAAAAATATTTTCTGTTAAGTATGGGTTTATTTGTCACAAATACAACATCAAATGTATCTCAAAGTGTGTTGCTCAGTAAGAATTTATTTATAAATTTTCTTGATATGTACAATGTAGGGATAATTATAATGCTGTCATAATTTCAAAAAAATTAGATGAAGAATTTAAAAAATAATGGATTAAATACGTCACATCTTAGTAGTTCTCTTAGACAAGATATTTATTTTGTTACTAGTAATTTGGGAATATGTCGGTTCTTAAAAATCTTTTCACGTTTTTGTATTATTTAAAAAAAATATTAGCAATCTGTTGTACTCATGTCAGTAATTATCACTTTACTGCTTCTTGGCTCAAAAATTAAAGTGTGATCACAATTTACTACTAATAACATATAGATTGTAAAATTTTTGAAACTGTTGAATTTCAAAGCTAATTAACAAAAAACTACTGCTATCTAAGTTCATTTAGAAATCATCTATGATGACATGTAGGTGGTTAAAAATTTAAAAACTGGAAAAATATCTTCAGTAATTTTTTAAATACAAATCTCACTTACATAGCTATTAATTAACCACAAAATAAAATAAAACTACACGCCGTATTTAGTCAAGTCCTTCCTTCTTTTCTTTAATTGCCTCCTAAAATCACAAAATTACAAAATAATCACTACAAGGCATACACATACCTTAAAACGCTCTTCAAACAAAGACAACTCTGAAATTAAATCTGTAATAGAATTCATCAAGGCTTCTTGAGGAGAATAGTCAGACGTGGTCTGAATTCTTAGTACGAATTTATGTTCAAGGGGGTGAGGCACTTTATATCCAGCAAACAATACATTGGGGTCTTTAAGCAACTGACTGAAAAATATGCAACATAACTAGAGCAAAATTTTCATTTGTACTCACTTTCGGATCATGTTTCCAAGAGTGTGATCTTCTTTGTTTATTGTGAAAATAGCCGCATTTGGCACCTTGGTATCTTGTTCTCTGATGATTCTGTAAATGCGACAAGTGTTAACAACTGAAAACTCACTATACGCCGGACACTTACTTTTTCTCTCCATCGTACAACAAAAATGACTCGAAGGTCGGTGGCGCATTCATTGTTGAAAAATGAGTGCTTCTAAGGTAGAAAATAAATGTTAGATTTATGTTTGTAGGGATTATGAGTAAACAACGTTTTTGAGGTTATGTACAACAGGTATTTCTGAATGACATTTGTGGGAGGCAGGTTTGCCACCATTGAAATGTGGAAGGTATGAAAAATGGAATATAAAATTAATTGTATTTGTTATCATTTCTGATAAAGAGAGAAAACATTCCTGGTTATAACAAAATTTAGTCCGAACACTTTTGAGATCTTACTTATATCACTTAGATTTATAGTGTTAGAGAAGTTTGCTAATTTTTAATCTGGTTCTGAGTTTTAGTTACCAAAGCTTCCGCAAGGTGTCTCTGGCGTCTAAGACATTTACGCGATTTTCCTGCAAATTAAAAAATTTAACGCTTTGTAAACACCTCAGGACGTTCAATTATGTTCAAAAAAATGTCTAGTTTGCTTTCTGTGACTTAAAAAATCTACTCTTTTAAAAGAATTTTGAAAAATGCCGTTTCCAGCAGCCACTTGATAAAATGTAGAGGTTTGCCTTCATTTTTTGCATCAGTCTGCGCGAGTGTGTCGTGGAAGAAGGTTGTCCATCAGTATTCGGTGAAAATGGCGGAAGCCACAGGTGTATCAAATGTAAATCCGAATGCTGAGGTTGTAAGAGGTCAGTTATTCGAAGTGGGGCCGCGCTACACAAATTTAGCCTACATAGGCGAAGGCGCCTACGGAATGGTCGTGTGAGTAAACTTTCTTCTTATCTAACCCGAGCGTAATTTTCCCATTACACGCCCTAAAACTGCCGATAATCTTCCGGTTTTGGGGACCGGAGACCCCTTTTTCGCCCCCGTGCTCGTGGCGAATGCGGGAGGAACTCAGTTGGCGCTTTTCTCGCATTTGTTTTTTTGGGCGAGTTTGAGGTTATGTATACATAACTTCCTGTCATTAGTTTTTAAGAAATCGATGTTTCTAAGGGCACCGCGGGTTGAGATTTGTGCAAAGTTTTGTGTGAATGTATTTTTCGGGCGTTGATTCATCGCCGAGGTTTTTTTGCACTTTGAGACAGTTTGTTATTTTTAACAAACAAGAGTCAAAAACGTCAAATTATTTATTTTTAGAACGCGGCGATTTATAATTTTGATAATGTATTGCCGTTCGGTGTTTAATTATTGAATATTGAATGCGGCAAATGTGGCACGCATATGTAAAGGCAGTTTCTTTTCGCTAGGTGACGTTTCATTATTTCAAAACGTGATAATTAATTATTGTATACAATGTTTATAGTTCTAATCTGTTGCTTTGATTCAAATTTTCGGCATCTTTAATCGTGATATCGTGTTAGTTTTTTATAGGAAAGTCAACAGTATTTTTATACTCTGAATTTAAAATTAGAAACGTTACTTTACGAAAATAAATGGGCTATAAAAGTATATACGAAGCACCCCTGTCTTGCACGTACGACATGCACGACTAATGATGGTACAAGATTATGCCATCTTGCCATCACGAGACCATTTTTTAAATTACGTATTTTTATACAGAGTTGTTGACATTAGTGGCAGCGTTGCATTTTAAGTTTACTTACCGTAAATTAGTTTTTCTTTGAACAGGGAAAATATGAATGAAAGATAAAACTATTTCATGTGTTGCTTGTTTTACGTTGCAAATGTCGTCATTTTTTTCTAAATAAAAAAATGCATTTTCAAAACAAACCAACTATGATATTTACCGTTTTGTGTCACAACAATTTTGTCATGTTTAGTTTATTAGTTTAGTTTATTATTATTATTACCCAGCAGACTAAAGTCCAATTATAGGGTACCAAAGTGAAAACATACAGTATCTGTACGGACACAAATGACTACCTACTTACTAATTAAATTAAAAATTAAATACAAATAACTGAATTAAAAACAGTATACAAATAATAACAAATGTACAACAATAATTATAAAATATCAAAATGAGTTTTACAAAGTTTTTTAAACTCGGTGTTGTCGTATTTGACAGTTTATTTGATCGTAATTGTCAAACTAAACAAGGAAAGCTATCATTATTATTTTAAAAATGAATTGTATGGCCTACTAGAGGATCATTAGTACTTCTGCATTACTGATTTGAACAATTTTGACACCAGAAGTACACAAGTATTTTAGTTTGTACTATTTAAATGTCATTTATTAGGTAACATTTTGAGATGACGTCATCAAATTGTTGGTGAGGATGAGACAAATTTTATTTAGAGGTTTACGCGATATTTCTAAAATACATATAAAATTTCACAACGATCAGTCCATTTGTTTCAGAGATTATTTATCTAATAAACGAAACGGGAAACCTATTTTTTCGTACTTTTGGAGAAGTCGATTTACGAACAAATTTTTATAAAGAATAATAAGGTGTAAGATTTATATACCGATTCTGTGATGTACTTTTAACGAATTGGCAACACCTCCGCGAAATTTGTTAGGTAAAGTGGATCGCGTATAGACTTTATTTGCTGCCATTTAATACACAGTAGAGTATGGAATAGACGAAACGATTTAATTTAAATGAGACACCTAAACCATAATACAAATTTCAATTCAAGATTAGTTTCGGCAATTTTTATAGAATGGTACAATGCTGATAAAGAAAACTTAGTTTTGTTTTCCCAGAGGTATTATACCAGTTTCGTCTATAAGTTTAGAAATGAAGTTTATTACGTTCCGAGCGTAATTGCAATAGCAACTTTCATGTTTTTTGTTTGCAAATTTTATATATATGGTGGGAATATCGTGTGGATCGTACGATGTTTACCAAAATTTGACTAATCATGCGCACAAACAATTTCAAATTTCTTTTAGTAAACGCCATTCAAATTTTATAAAATAACATACTCCTATACTTGTGATTTATGAATCCGCCCTGATATTTTTACCCTAGGCATCCAGATTTTCACAAAAAAATCAAATTACATCTACGATTGTAAGAGCACAACCGGTGAAGAGCAATGTTGAATTACTAAAGCGAAAGCCGCTGGTTGGGTTGACTTATGGGTCTCACCCCATTTCGTCGAAAATTTGAGAAAATAAGAATTATAGTAGCTGCAACATAATTCTGCTCAATTAGGTGTGTGCGGGCTTAATGGTCTAGTTTTTTTCGGTGAGTAAACATAAACAACCGAAGTTAAGCTTGTACTGATTATATATTTTTTCCCGTTGGTTATCTGCTTTGAATATATTTAATATTGTCTTGCTTTCTTTTCTTGTACTTCAGCAGTCCACACATATCTTTATTTTAAGTTATAAATTATTGTCAAAAATATATTTGATGTATAGTTCGGCCAAAGATATAGTGAGCTTGTGTTTCAATTGCAGTAATTTTTACGAGTTCCACAATTGACGTAGTAAATCAGCTTACCTGGTCAAGCCTTTTTCTATTGTAAGAGTAACAAACAAAAAATATTTCAATATGGCACGTAGTCTACCTAACTATATGTGTAATGCCACAGTCCTATCTATCTTTACTCGAACTATATTTTCATATTTATTTCCATTTGTATTGGTTGCCATGAAAATAATAGTTCCGATTATCAAATTTGTATTCTCTTTACCATTTATGTAATTTCTGTCTATTTATCACAAACTTCTTAAACATTTTTATACATGTTATTAGTCTTTCTTTGTTTCCAATATATTTAATAGTGTTTTTATTGCTGCAATGTTGATTTTATAAATCCCTTTTCCTTTGGTCCTTGTGTACCCGTCGCGTTGTTGAGAGCATTTTGTAGACTCTATTTGAAAGTGTAAATCACTTTTTGATCGAGTTCTTTGAAAACTTTTTTAACTCTTCAGTGACTAAAGGGGCAAAGGAATTGTGGTCGAATTTAGTTTCTCTTTTTCGTCTTTAAAATAGATTTATTTAGTAAACTTCCTACGATTAATAATCTTAGTTGCTCAGTCAGTTTTAAATTTAATTTTTAACCGCCCTAATGATGTGTTGGCAAAAAGTGTCGTTTCGATGTGTTTTATTTCACAGTTGCCGTTCCTTAGATACTTGAGAATTGCTAAACAGGATGTCTAAAAAATCATTGAATGAGCTGACTCACTTTATCGATTATATCGGAAACGATTCATTTGATTTGTCGGAAATTAAATACGACAATGATATGATTATAATTATTTCGTACGTATGGAAATCAACAGATTTATCCCCGCTAAATAGTTCGTGACGTCATTCCAAAAAATTATTAAACAAATCTTCATCGCAAAATAAACTCATACATGTAATTTGTTATTTGTTATGCTTCAGAAGCCGTAAATTGTGTGTAAATAACTTCACAGATTTTTTAATCAGAAATGAAATTGTTTAGTGTGTGTAATTAACGTTGATTATTTGTTTATACAATGAAAGCTGAAGGATTCTTTCATATTATCAAGGTTCTGCTGTCGGTTTTCAGTATTGGCATATATTTTGGGGTTTACTTATAACACTATTTTTGTTGTCTTACCTGTGAAAATGAACACTTCGCGCCGGAAATAAATTACAAAATGACGCACAATCATTAAACAAACATTTTATACATGAGTCTATGTAACTGGTACAAGTCCTCTCAAGGAAATTGTTTAAATCAGTGTGTCATTGCGTCCGATCAAATTATGTTGGTAAATAAATAATAATCTAAAATGTTTGCACAGAGTTGTTTGGTATTTGTACATTTACGACACGATAAGATATTATGAGTATTTAACCTATGTTTTTGTTCGTGTGTATGCAGAATTTTGCGAAAATTTCCCGGAAAAGTACCCAACTCCGACTACAAGTTAAAACAGAATTTTGGCGCAGCGTAACATCGCGCGGAAATAAAATAAACGGAATTAAACATTCGAAATTGAAAAGCGAGTATGAAATATACACGATAACACTCGGTTAACGTGTGTATTGTGAACGTGTAAACATTTAAATCTCGAAAGCGTACATAGTACTACGTAACGGTAAAGATAAACAAACTCAGGTTTATTTTATAAGTCAAGAATATTTATTAGAAAATCGAAATGCAGCAATAATAGCTTTGGGTGTTCAGTTGAAACCGAGATAGTATCTAATTAATTTTTGTTTTCTCGAACAACACAGTTTGATTTATCGAGCGAGTTGTTTCTTAACTGGAAAAAATTAACTTACAAACTTCAATTGTTCGGAACATTGAAGAAGATTCAGTAAATTGATTGAACATTAGTTTGTTAGGAAATGCCGCAAGAGCGCTTTCGGATTATTTTTAAACCGAGAAAGTGTTGTTTTATCGTCAGATTGGTAACTACTGTTGAGTTTGATAAAAATGAACACATTTATTTTTGCATATTTGCGCGTAAATGAAGCGTTGGTATCGATAAATAAATAAAAGGGAGTGGATGTTTTATGACGACAGATATATTTTTGAAAATTATTCATAACTAAGCAAATACGATTTTTATCAGACGGTTTTGTAGAATAACAGTTCATGGTGTGTTATTTTTGTTGATGAAATATACACGTGGAAAGATAGTTTGTTTTTCATTCAAATTGAGGAGAAAAGGCATTTTCCTGAAGTGACTGGATGGCTCTTATCCTAGCTCCTCGAGTAATAATGCCTAAAGATATATTATACGGGTTCGCCTTACTTAGCTCGAGTGTTACGGTGCTCAAAGACGTTTTCATTCTCGGGTAACCAATTCATGTGGCTTTATTAATATTGATGCAGTTGTACTTTGTTATTTCAATG